TTAAAGGAATGGGGGGGGGGGGGTTGTGTAGCACTGAGCTAATGAGATACTTAAGGATTTCATGACTGTAATGTCTGGGGACTGAGGACAGACACAGGACAGTTGTAGTGGTACCTACGCCTTTGCCCTGTGATGCAGCAGCAGAAGATACAGGAGGAAGTGCACCACACCGTCCCAGTAGCACATCATGATGGCATAAGCGGTCACCATGCATGGCTCCCCCTTCAAGGTACATGAAAGATGTCATTAGAATGATGACCCTTTACATTATCCCACTAATCCCATAATCCTTTGCTGATAATCCACTGGCGTGCTAGTTGGGTAAGCTTGAGCTAGGTGTGTTATTCATTGGCACTAACCTTTCTTTGGTAAAATCCCACGAACCCTGACGTGAAGCCGTCCTGCTCCAAAGCATTGGTCAGCTTCAAGACTGACGTGAAAGCAAACTGGACACACACTGCGAGAGAGACAGGAGCACTGAGCTCACTGTAATGCTCACACATGTACACAGACACAGAAGAAATGTCCTGCTCTCCAGCCAACCTCAAGAGAAATTGGGCAAAATGTATACATGTGTGTGCTCTGATAGTCAAATCATTCCAGTTACTTAGAAATCAATTATAATAACACTTCCTCATTCACGCTAATGTTAACTTGCCTTACTTGTTTTCCAACTCTCCATAACTGGCAAAATAGTCACCTGATATCCAACTGCTAGAAAATACTGGAAAAAAATATAGTAACACTTTACTTAAAGCACCCACGTATAATGCCTTATAGATACTATCATAATGCATTTTAATGCATTCATGAAGTATTATAAACACGGCTATAATTATTTATAAAAACGCATTATAGCCATATTTATTAAGCACAATCAACGCTTTGTGAAGCTTTCATGTATAATGCACTCTTTCATAATACATTATAATGGCTTATACTGACTATTATAATGCATGATGAAGGTATCTATAGTGCATTATGATGACTACTTTAAGTAAAGTGTTTCTGAAAATATCGACTGTTTCCGTGTTCTGGTTGAAATCACTGCCGTGGTGGACATTCTTGTGCTGTGTGCTTTGAATGTTAACATGGACATTTGAGTTTCCAAAGTAAAGACCTAGAGGAGACCAAACTGCAACCCTGAATTGTAGACCACCACATGTGCGTCTTTGTGTTCATACAGACACGGGCAGATATATAAAACGACTGTTTATACTGCCTACTGGATTTCTGTCACTGCAGGAATGGATAATAATGTTTCTCAAACGGCTGCGCGAGTAAGGGCTCGTGCTTCAGCGGGAGGGGGTGGAGTTTGGTGGACGCACTCCGGTGTGAAACGGCGAGAACACCGAGAATCGGGAGGACGAAAAACAGGAAGTGTACTTTCAGCTGGAGGCCGTCTGCCTTCTCACTGCCCCATGGTGAAGTTTCATTAGCGAGGGGATGACAGGCTAACTGAGAAAACGTCATCATAACCCCGCCACAGGGAGTGTGTCTCTTTAAGTGTGACTGCTAGGCCTAAGCTTTATTTGAGCAAGATCTGTGTCGCACTGATTTATTGGAAATACTAAAATAGTTACTCTCCGTGTGATGGGGGTAATTGTGTGCACTTGCTCCCTCTTGGGCTCAGTGTTTAAATCTCTTCATATCCGTTGCAGCTGATAACAGCTGAGTAGCGTTACATCCTATCATATTTTCATTTTGTTGCCCTGCCTTATCCTGTTTGTGGCATTTCTCCTGTCTCGCCGGCCGCAGTGGAGCCATCAGTATTTTCCATAATCTTTTTGTTTTATCTTGAATTGTCCCGGGGCTCTTTTTCATTATGATCTGGCGCTGTAAAAATCTGTTTTGGTCCCATGTCACAAGATCACACCTCTCCTTGTCGCTTACCGTAGAAGAGGATATCTTTGGGTTGTTTACGCTGTGCCGAGAGAAACGCAAGAAGAGACACGGCCCCCGATACCACCAGCCCAGTGCCCAGTATGACGAACGGCCTACACGGAGAGAAAGAAAAGCAATGAACAAATAAGACCTCAGACAGAAATCAAAGTGAATTTACTGTGTTAAAGCTGACACAGGTGGTCAGTGAGCCAAGGGCACAAGCTGCAGAAGCAACTTTCACACATAACACATGTTTAGTATTTATAAGTGTGAAGTTAGAGACAAGGTTCAGCAATATAATGAATATAGAAAACAGCTGGAAACAACACAAGGAAAAATAAAAATAATTAAACTTTATACATGGATTGAATTCATA